CAGTCTCACTGACCTCATCAGGCTGGAGCAGACCCCCAGGTGCGTGGAGGGGGGCCGGCCAGGGCAGGCCAGGAGTGCTCCCGGGAGCCATTGAGCAAAGGTGAATTGTCCCCCAGGGCGACCCAATGCAGGCAGGGCTGTGAAATGGACAACACTGGCTGGAGTGGACTCTCAGTTGGTCTCCATGTCCTTCCTCCCCCTCCCTCCCTCTCTCCCTCCTTTTTACATTATTCATTGAGCATCTACTAGGTGCCAGGCCAGGACCATTCCAGGAGCTGGGGCTGTTGTCTAGAACAGTATTGGTAAGTCCTTCTTCTCATCAAGTGTACAGTCTGATGGGGAAATCGACTCCCCCAAATCACATACGATGGCGATACATACTACAGAGAAAACAAAATGGGTGATATGAGTGGGAGTGATGGGGAATTATTGAAATTAGGTGGCCAGGACTGGCCCCGCTGAAGAGGTAGGTAACATTTAAGATAGCCCAGGATAACAAGCGAATGTCAGCATTTGAAAATCTGGTGGAAGGCATGCCAGGCAGAGAGGACAACACGTGCAAAGGGCCTGGGGCAGGGGTGAGTTCGGCATGTTTGAGGAATGGCCCCTGAGTTGGAGCAGACTGGATGAGGAGAGAAGTGGTAGGTGGTAGTGGGGGTGCAATGGTACAAGGCATGTCAGGCCACAGGGAGGAGTTTGGAATTTACTGGAAGCCTTTGAGGACAGGGATCCATCTGATGATTTCAGATCCCTCCGGCTGCTGTGTGGGGAGGGACCTGCAAGGGGCAGCAGAGATGCCAGTGCAAAAACCCCCATAGTGAGCAGGGTGAGGATTGTGTGTCCTGGTCCAAGGTGGGGGCAGTAGCCATGGGTCTTAGAGACCTTTAAAGGGAAACTCCCATGCTCCCCACAGCAGCCCCCTGAGCCACCCCAAAGTGTGGCAACCACCGGCAGGATAGTGTATTTTCTAAGCCTTTGAAAAGCTATTCCTTCTGCCTAGAATGCCCTTCCCTGTTTTGTTCACCAACTTAAACATCTTTCGTGGCCACCCTTGTCACCTTGCCCCACCATTGTCTGTCTCTGTGGCCGTGTCCCCGCCGGCTCAGAACCCCTGAAGGACCAGGAACAGTCCTGGTTATCTTTGTACCCCAACCCTCAGCCCTGGGTCAGGAGCACAGTACCTGCTCACTAAACGTGTGAGAAATCCTATTACCATGCAGCGGCGCCCACACGGTCTAGCCGTGGGCTAGCATACCGCTCCTATTATTCTTACACCATCTTTTGGTTTGTTTTGTTAAACCTCATGTCAGGATTTTTTTTCCCATTGCTTTTCAGAGAGAGTAGAAGGGAGGGAAGGGGAGAGAGAGAGGCGGGAGAGAGAGAAGGGAGAAGGAGGACGGGTCAGGGGAGGGGGAGGAGGAGGGAGAGAGGTGAGACACATCGACTGGTTGCCTCCTGCACACCTGCAACCGAGGTAACTGAACATGATCAGGAATCGAACCCATGACCCCTTCATGGCCCCAGCCAACCCTAATCCTCTCAGTCCCCCACCTCCCAATACCGTCACATTGGGATTAGGGTTTCAACATATGTATTTGGGGGGACACAGTTCCGTCCATAGCAGCCCCGGCGGCTCCAGCGAGGGGCTCAGATTTCATCCTGTCTTGGGAAATGATAGTCTGGATGTTGAGAATGAGGCGTTTCCCATTTAAACACTTACAGCCTCCTGGTCTGGACCTGGCTGAGCTCCTGCAAACATGGGCAGGAAGGGAGGAGTCTCTCTACTCCCCTGCTTCGTCCCCTACAGCGGGCAGCGGCCTCTGGCTTCCCCACCCTCCTCACTCTCCCCCTGGGACCAATGCCCGGTGCAGCAGAACCGGACCCTTGAAGTGAGGCCTAGGGGGCCAGGTCCCAGGCAGGTGCCAACAGGGCGGCCCCACCCACTGCAGCAAGCACCCGGCTCTGCAGCCATATGGTCCTGGGTGCTCGCTGTGCTCTGGGGCCCCAGGCAGCTCGTTCCTTGGCTGTAAGCCGTGGTCTTCTCATCTGCAGACAGGTACAGCTCCCTGGCGGGCATGTAGCGGGAGCTCCGGGAGAGGAGAGCAGGTTGCCCATCAGGAGGCAGGCGCTCCAGAACAGATGGGTGAGGAGCCAGGGACCAGTGGGCTTCCGGAGTGGGGGAGGTGGAGCGCTCCCTCAGGTTTCCAGAGGGGTCCGGGTCCGGGACCCCCCGCATCTTTGTATCACAGGGCTGAGCGCTGGTCTGCAGAGCCTGGGGCAAGCACTGGGCCATGGAGAAATGGGGACAGCCAGCCCTGAAGGCCCCCTCGCTCCTCTGGGTCCCCTGTGACCCTTAGGCCCCGCCCCCCAGTGCTCCCAACAGAAGTCCTGCTCATAGTACAAATGGCTGCGATGCTGGCAGGGCTCAGGGTGAGATTTCTGGCACCCGTTCTCTCATGGCCGTGGGCATCCAATCCGCTTATGGGAGGAGCCCCTGGCCCATGGTGCTCTCATGTTCCAGGACATCGACGTCCAAGGCCGACAAGATCCACATGGAGGTCACGCCGGAGCACAGCCTGCAGCCTGCACTGGCAGAGCTCCCAGGAAAGTGGAGATGGACTAGGCCCACTGGCTGGCCACTGCCTACACCTGGGGTTCTGTGACCTGCCCAGGGTGAGTCTGTCCTGGGGAAGGGCCCAGGGAGCCATGTGGGGAGTGAGGTGAGGAGAGAGGACATAACTGAGAGCTAGATGCCCACATCAGGTTCTGCCACTTGCCAGCTGGGCGAGCATGGGCACGCCTCCTCTCCGATCGCCCGTGTGTCATCTGGGGAATGGAAGCAGCAGCAGGCTCCGGCATGCAGGGTGACTGTGGTCTTGAGGGAGGTGACACAGGAAG